GCTTCGCACGTATGCAACTCGTTTGCACATGATGCGGCATAAGTATGGTTATAGGCCTTCAAGTTGTCGTGCGGATGGTAGGGTCGTGATATGGAAACCAATCTCCTCAGTGTCATAGATGGGGCAACACGGGGTGTGCCAATATAAATATTGCGGTTATAATTAATAAGGTCGCATGAAAAACAAAAAACAAAGGGGCCTAACTCAGTTGGTAAGGCACACAAGTGACATTGAGTTCGATTCCCATTGACCTCATATATATTTGAGGCAAGCTTGGTGCCCGCCACCTAGAGATAAGTCATTGGTCCCCTTCAGTGGCATTGAGTAAAGACTGTTGATGTTCGTAGGGGAAGGAGACTGAAGGGGATGTGACGTACAATCTCCTGCCTTTCACCACTTCCCTTGCGAAAATGAGTTAAATTGCAAAAAGGGCTAACAAAATGCGTAATTGCGGGTGTGCCAAAGAGTTTTGGGAAATATGGGTGTGGAGTTTCAGGTCGAAATTGCAATCTTCGATGATGGTTTCGCTATGAAAAGGACAAAATGAAATTGCGGACCGACAACATCTCCCTGGTTCAAAAAATACTCACAAACTCCTCTCGAACTTTTTGGTGTCTTTTATGTGAGCGAATATATGTGGGAGTAAATTAGGAATCCAAATTTGCAAGTTTCTGCACATAAAACTCTTACGGAGGTCCAGGTGGTCCCCCGCATAATTCAAACATGATGCGTAATGAGGACATGTCCCACAAAGTTTAAAGTCATAATCAAGTATGCACAATTGAGCGCATATTTTTTATACCTCAGTGTCTCCACATGACACGTAGTCGAAACCTGTTTCCTTTAAATGCTCTACTTAACAACAGACCGAACACAATGTACGAAGCCAATGGGGAGTGATAACATGTTAAGGGATAACAATAAGCTCATTAAAAGGCAATATAACGGAGAAAGGAATGTAGATTATTTCGACAATCACGAGTTAATAAAAGTTTAACATCGACCTTCCGTTGAAAACAGGTATGATCGTTCGAGCTATGTCGTAGCTGCGCGTACACCCCATTTGTAGACCCGTGTCATCTCCACGGGATGATCGCGCGGATACAATGAAGACTGTTCGTACCCTCCCACCATATGTCCGAACATTATAGAAAACAACATTCTTGTTTACATGCACAAAAGATGATTGATATCAACAAAACTTTGAGGGGAGGTCCATTACCCATATTTACTGTTCATAAAATAAATATGACCCATCTTCTACGCACGAAGTGGTACGGGTGCAGGCGACAGTCAACGGCTATAAGCTTTCGCACAAGCAGAAAAGTGTAATGATATTACGTATGCAACTGCTTATTAAAGTTAAAAAAACAAACTAAAATTTAGTGAATTTCATTTATGTCATTTATACATTATTACGTGTACGAAGGTTAAACACTCATAATAATTTTTCATGCAATCGAAAAAATATAATGGGTGCTCCACTTATTCCTATTAGACCAAGGAGTGAGAAAACATTTTCATATGTGAAAGACACATTCATTGAGGTGGAGAGAGAGAGAGAGAGAGAGAGAGAGAGAGAGAGAGAGAGAGAGAGAGAGTACATTTCGTTCCATATACAACCTTTAAAAGAATTACCGATAAAAAATAAAAGATATGCACAAGATAATCAGCGAGTTTGAACCATCGAGCGCTTACAAAGGAACGAGTATCCATCACGTTCATCTTGCAAGTGGAAGAGTATAACGGGAGAGAAAGCAAAACACAAACCATCACATTTATTCAGAAACTGAAAAACGACAATCTCATGCATTCAATCAACAGAGACATCAACGTGCACCACATCCTTAACAAAAATTAAGCAGTACTATGACTTAAGCACATAATAATCGATAAATGTAAGAAAAATAAAAATAATATTCTCATCATGTGTAACTTCCACTCACAATGAATCAATTAAAGAAAACAATCAAGTTACTATGTTCTCATACGCGTGATAACTTTATCAATCAACCATTATTCCTTACACCTTCTTGAGTATCGACGATCTCGACCGCCGCATACTCAACGACATTTTTCGACGATTGTCACATCGACAATTGAAATTATACACTGATCCACCTAGATCCGACATTCCGTCCTAACTACATGACATGCGATCCCTTTTAGTCGAGACAAACTTGTTAGGACTTCAAGTTTCCAATCCCCTGATTACCCCTATCTAGCCACCACTTCACTTAAGTTAGCTGATAGTGCAATAAAAGAAAAGAGAAACCCGCTTGCGAGATTTATAGTTATGAACAACATAAAGAGTAGGTGCGTCGTAGGAAGAGGGAGAGAAAGAGAAAATAGGAGGATAAGAGAGTGAGAAGGCGATACCGATCTGGAAGTAGTCTTTGTAGCCGATCAAAGCGCAGTGTGATGGGGCCAGAGTTAATTTTCATGCTATGATTCGATTTTTATGGTCGCTAGGGCTTAGCAAGATCCTTCAAGGTGAAAATGGATGGGGGGAAAAGAATTACAAGAGATAGTAAAAGGAGATTGTAGCGGTACCCCGCCAGTTCCGACAGTTAGACCGGTCCAGTCCTACGATGTCAGTCTAGTCCTAGCCAGGTAGGACCATTATCCGAGTAATCTCCCCATGATCGCCAGTATATCTCTCGACATGGTACTTTGTGCATACCTTTTTTTTCCGATTCGTCATTCGACCGGACCATTGAGCCAGACTTTAGTTGTTCCTATCATGTGTGTCCACCTCACTTCCTCTCTCCGTATTCTCAGTTGCACATGCAATCGCACGCACGTTCGTCACAGAGATACGAAGATTCAATGAGATCAAAAAGAAAAGGAAGACGAGAAGAAGGAAGAAGAAGATAGTTACACTTTATCATGGAGGAAAGCGCGGACAAGGAGGAAGAAGAGTGTTCAAAAGACTTGCATGCAAAGGAGCGAACGTAGAAGCGGATACAAGAAAACGAAAAGGCACCAAAACCCCCAAGGTCCATTTCATGTCATAGACAGGTAGATGTAGATAATATTCATATCGAGTACCATCATGTTGATTTGGCTTGTCTTATCAGGGTGTCACACTTCAATTATATAGTATTTGATTTAGTTCATGCGCGAGCCAGAAAAAGGAAAAAGTTAAGGGATAGGAAGGGATGGTGCTTGGTAGGTACGTTGTGAGTACAAAAGTCCGTTAGTCGGGCTGGGTGATCAGTGCCCCGAGATCCAATGAGTGCATAAGTCAGTCTAAAACGAACGACCGCGTGTAACCCATATACATCCGACTAACAACACTGTCGGCTGGCCACCTCCAGCGCGGCATATAAAAGTCATCACATATGGTTGAGTAGCTCAGCATGGATACACCTACGTAAGGATGGTGACAGCCTTTGGGTAGTGGTAAACTATGCCTCGTGAAAAGTTGTCCTGTCACAAGGTGCCATGAGAGGTATAGCTGGCGCACTTGGCTGGAGTGTTGCCTCTGTCAAACACTACTCTAGCATGCTCCTGCGTAACACAGCCGTGAAGGTCCTTTGCTTGTCCAAGTGTCTGGGACCGCTGGGCTCGACAGTGGGAGCAGGAATGTATACGTGAAATGCCAGTGAATGCTACACTTGACTCCTACAACAAGTCCAAAATGAATGCAAAAATTACAAGGACAACTGCAAAATTGCACAGAAGCCCAGAATTTGAAACGCCATCCACAAGGTAGCTTGCAGATAGCCCACCAAAGACGAAGCCTGCATAACCCTAAGGAAAAGGAGGAAGATAAGCGAGTGTACAACCCCTTTCAAAGAGACGAAAAATGCAAGGGGCGCGTGTCACAGGGAGGCACAGTGACTGGCCCATTGAAGAGCGCAGTCCTGATGCTACCAGCTGACCCCTGGCTGGTATCACCCACCTGTTGCAGCAGATAGGCACCCGCTGGTGGGTGCAGCTCCAGCTCCTTTGCACCCACCAGCAGGTTGGAGGCTTGAACACGAATGTGGCTGCTACGGGGTTCCCGTAATAATACTATAAAAAGTCTATAATGACAATAATAAACGCATGAAAGGACATCCTCTCCAGATTCTACAGGTAATTGAATTGGTTAGCCTTTCTTTTACAAAAAAAAGAAACAAAGAACGAATCTTCATCACCAACTTTTTTTTTTTTTTTTTTTTTTTTCCCTTACCCCCCTCCCCTCCCCCATAAAAAGAAAAAAAATCTTCACCACCAGTTTTTTGTCTGAACAGTCCTTGTCCTCTCTCTTTCCGTGATCGCCAGGAAAGCCTTGCACATATTGTACCCACGGGCTAAGGGCCAGATCCCACTGGCAAACAGGATTGGAAGAAGTGTTTGAATCTGGACGTGTTCCACGTAGAGGTGCAGAAAAGTGGACCAATCACAATGTTTGGCACCTGTCCACCAACACGTCCACACATTCAGACACTTACTACAATCCTCTTTTTTTTTTTTTTTTTTTTCCCTAAGTAATCTATATTCTT